ATTGTTATTTGTTTGGTGTTCTGGAGAACTTCCCCCCTCCGCATATTTGCTTACTCTGTTTATCTCCCTTCTTCTCCGTACTTCACCCCCCAATTGTTCCTTTCGCAGTCTTTCTTAAAAGTCTCATGCTCTCCCTCACCCACAATCTGCTGGGCCTTGATTGGTGTCAGACCACGTTGCCCTTTCCCTTCAATCTTCCTCCTCCTTTACTTCCTTTTCCACCTCCCTCTGAGTTTCCATGGCATGACCGCTTTTCCCTGTATTATTGAGACTTGGGATCCTTATCCACTCCACGTTCTTTTTTCGTCTGGAGCCGACACCGCGCTCGGCCTATCTTAGGCTGTATGGCAGAACTTTCCGTTGCTTGCCTCTCTTTTTATGCCGTTCATACCCTGTTAGTTTTCTCTTCTCATCCTTGCTGTGATCACGCACCCCGCCTTTGTTGCTAATCTTACTCTTTTTCGTAGCCTTGTACCTTTGTTACGGGCTCCGTCCACCTTCCGCTTTTTGTGTGCTATTTTCCCGCGCGAGTCACCTTAGGATTTTTGTTCACTGTCCTCTATTGGCACTTCATTGCCCTCCTCTTTTTCACTATCTCACCCCGCCTTTGTGCTATAATTGCACTTTAGGGCTCAGCGTCTGTCGGCTTTGCATCAGGACGATCCTCCACTTCCCTTCAAATGACCCTTCTTCCCTTGGTGTGCACTTTCTGTCTCATAGCTCTTAACGTTGTTTGTTCCTTTTTTTTGGTTTGGCTTTAACTCCCTTTCTTGCACACCGTCCATCCTCTGCCTTCACACCCTTACTGCTCTTGACCCTTTTTCTCATTCTCTTCTTATCTCCGTTTTGCACATCTTTGCACGTCTATCTACTGGCTGTTTGTGTTCATTGTCCACCACATTCCCACTTACTTGTGATGGGTCCCATTTTAGTATCCTTACCTTTTGTGCAACCTACTACTTTTGTGCTAATGTTTCCCTTTTACCCCATTTGTACTGCTCTCTTTTCCCTTCAGAAACTGTCCATTTTCTGCTTTCCTTGCTTTGTGCCCCGTCTCTCGTTTTTGTCCTTCTTTATTATCCTGACAGTTGTTCCATCGTTTTCCCTCTCCACTCCGTTGCATCTTGCCTCTTTTTTTTTTCTGCACCCACACCTTCATTATCCTTTTGTTTGTCCCCTTTGTATCTTTCTGCTCTTCTGCCTCTTTGTGCGTTCAACCAGCAACACTCCTCCCTTAATTTGTCGCGCTCCATCCTCCTTTTTCGTGCAGCCTTTTTCTTCAGCCATTCCTCCGTTTGTCTCCCTGAGACTTTGTGGCCGCCCTGTGTTTACACAACCCGTTTTTTTGGTTCGATTCTGTCATATCGGAACTCGTTCTCCTCTCTTCCATCTTTTTGCTTTCGTCTCACCCCCTTTCGCCCGCTGGCCCTCCTCGCATCCTCCCGGACTTTCTTTTCCTGCTTACAATTCAGTCCTAACGCCACCCGCTGCTTTCCCCACCACAACCCCCCTCTGCCCTAGTTTTTTAAGCCCCCCCCCCGACGCCTTGCTTCTCCTATGTTCTTTCAATTTTTGGGTTGCGGGTGCTCTTCGCTCCCATTTTTTCTTTTCTCTTCTCCACATACCACTGACGTTACCTTTTTTTTCTTGACCCTCAGTTCCCTTTCCTTCCCCTTTTTGCCCTATCCCGCCTTTTTTCCATTTCCTCTTCCCCTTTTTCTCCTCTTCTATTTCTTTTTCCTCCCCTTTTTTTCTTCGTTTCTTTCCTTTTATTCTTCCCTGCCTTTCGTCCCCCTATTCATCCCCCTTATTTTTCCTCCACCCCCGCCCCCTTTTCTTCGCTGTCCGACCCTCTTCCCTTTTCCTGACCCTCTCACCCCCATTCTCCTCCTCACTCACCGTTTTCTACCCATTCGCCTGCTCTTTTCATCTTGACACTTGACCCTTTCCCCGTTTTCCCCCCCCTCCGTCCTCTCGGGCTCCTTTCTGTCTCACTCATCACACACTTTTCTAACATACGATCTTACCAACCATCCCCGTCTTTGTCCCCCTTCCGTTCATGTTTTGTTTGTTGCCTCCCCGTTCGTATCCTTTCTGTTAACCCCCCATGCGCACTGTCTCATCTTTGGTGCTCCTGCATCGTTGGAACTCCCCAATTTAACCCAGTTCTATTCTTCTCCCCGATTTTCGTGGTGTTTTTTCTCGTCCCTCTTTTTTGGCTGTCTTTTGTCCGTCCACTCTCTGACTCGCCTCATACCCCTTACATGTCAATGCACTGGTTCACACCTCCCGTCTGTGTCCTTTTTTAACCCCTGTTTCACGCTTGTGTCTCTGGCATTCACCCCATTCCGGCATGTTTCTTGTCACGGTGTTTTGTCCAACCTCCATATTCGCCCACACTCATTTCTGTGTGCACCTTCAATCTGCCTTCATTCAATTTTCCATTTCCCCCTTTCATGCCCCTCGAATTCTGTTGTTTTTCGAGCTACCCTTCCGGTGCTGCCGTGCGCCACGCTTTACCTGTTTTTGGGGTTTTCAAAAACAGAAACGCCAGGATGAGGTCCACCTCGTTAAGGACCGTGCGAATAATCTTTTCTGCTGTACAACTCCCAGGGCTTTTCAGTCGCCTATGATATTGTTAAGTGAGAACAAACACCCTTCCACATTATTCGGTGCTCAATCGCTGTTGCGGTCTTCCAGTTGCAATCCGGATTCGCGGTTTCTACCAGGGTTTTGCCAAGCCTGGAGCCGCGTACTTTAACATGGGGGGCCATACACCTATGCAAATGATCATTTTGGGGGGAAAGGTGGAGGGCTCTAAACCTCCTGAAACGTCCTTCCGTAAAAAAGACTAACAATGTTTGGTTTCGCGGTTTTGGGACGGCCTTCCAGGATTGCGCCGAACAGCCTAGGTTGTCTTGGTTCACCACCCCAATATCTCGCTCCTCTGAGGCGGCTTTCAGAATGCCCTCTCCAAGGTTATGTGCGTACGAGGGCCTGTGACGGATATGTACGGTTTTGCACTTGTCCCTATTAAACGGAAGTAGATTACCTTTGACCATTCAAAGCGCAGTCTAAGTCTCCTTTCAACATATCGTGGCCTTCGTGACAGTCAATTGCCCGCTAAATCTTGATGTCATCGGCAGAAAACAAGCAATTTGACTTGATGACACTCACAAAGTTGTTAATGAAAACAAAAAGAACCGCGGCCACAACACCGCCCCTTGTGGAACACCGCAGTCGACACCAATTGGATCAGAAAACGAACCTCGAACCAACCTGAAGACGCCGCTGAAAGAGGAAGTTTCCGCTCCATCCAAAGACAGGGTTCCAAATTCCGTACGCTTGCAGCTTTTGGAGAAGTATGAGATGATCTATGCGGTCGAAGGCTTTGGAAAAGTCTAGGTAGACGACATCAATGTCGGTCCCACTGTCGGCTATCGCAGTCCCACTGCAACGGGCATGCAGTAGGTGAGTAGTAGGTGACAGATGCTGACTGAGTCCGTGTTGCTCAAGTGTTATGAGGTTCGATATTTCAAAGTATCCCGTTGCAGCCTCAGCTATGATCGATTCCATCACCTATGAGAGCACAGGGAGGAAAATCTCTGGGCGATAGTTGGCGGGCTCTGAACGGCTACCACTCAGGCTTATAGGTAGATGAGAATACGGGTAAAGTGATGTCCTTTGGGCTTTCGGGGTGAGAACATAGGCCAGGGGTGAAAGATCTATGATGTGAATGGGGGTTCAACTAAGTTCTCGGGGGGGATAGCTGAGCCACCTCCATGCTTTCGGGGGAATGTTTTTCGCAACTCCGGGACAAAAACTATGGTTGGGTGCAGGCTGAACGATAGTAGCTCCCGTCAAAGTCGTTTTGTTTCATAAAATGTAATTACGTGAAGTAATCAAGGGTAATATAGCTGACTCCTGGGGAGAAGTAGGTAAGGTAGGTTTACAATAATGCGAGTTATATAGCTAGGTGGGGAGGGTAATAGCAGGTAAGAGCCACACTGTGGTGCAAGCATCCAGGCAGCAAAGCGTAAGCGGCCAACTCTTCTGGGGAAATTATCAAATCACTATACACTCCTGTGAAAATCAAAATGTTTCGGAGCACTTGGGCAAGCACATGCACACACGCGCTTTCAACACCGAAAACAAAATGAATGCGTTGCTGTGGATGCCTCCCGTCGATTTGTTTAACGAGGAGGAGGGGTGCCTTACATCGCCGACACCTGTCGGTGCTTTTGCGAATAGGGTTCATAAGTACACATACATGGTTGTAACACCGTATTGAGATGACCGGATTCGTGGGAACTGGTGAGTTCCACTGCTCGTTGGGCAATGGTACACCGGGGTTGCATTGCCTGAATCGTCGTAATTGGAAGTGTTATAGGGTTGGCATTGACAATGAAGTGGGGTCCGGATTACTGAAGACTACTGTCGATCTGGATTCCGGAATGGGGGATGTGAGAAAGTAATATTGGGTAATTGGGTCTACCCACT